TAGTTTCCCTGCTTTGGTTGTTGCCCTGAGCTCCCTTGCAGATCGGCAACTTTGACCAGATCCCCCTTGTAGACAACGTATGCTTTGTACCCAAGCTCCTGATTTTTTACGCGTGCCTCCTTAGGGTGCCTTCATACCGCGCCGGCAGTCGCCGCTAGCAGCCCGTAGCAGCCCGTAGCAGCCGCCAGCAGCCGCCAGCAGCCCGTAGCAGCCGCCAGCAGCCGCCAGCAGCCCGTAGCAGCCAGTAGCAGCCGCTGGCCGCTTTTCTTATAGAAGCGCAGGATCATTGGAGTAGTACTTTGAGTGCTCTGCTACGCTTTTCATCTTCCTTGCTTTTTCCCCTAGCGCCGGCCAGTGGATAGTTTGATCTCTCGCATCATATTTGTGTCCATTCCATTAACTTGTCGCCCACAATTCGCTGAACTTTCTTTCCTGGGTGGTTTCCTCTGACTCTGGATGCGTCCAGTTCCTGCAGATGTGTAATTTGTTTACTTTGAGTAGGCTTTTGCTTCAATCTTCTTCTTGGCTATCGGTGCATATCTGAATTGCATTCCACTATTTCGCAACTCGCCGATTGATTCGCGGTGTGGGGTCCCCTGACTTCAACAATGGCTCACATGTTTTACACAAGACAGATTGCAAAATTGAAATGTGCAGATAGGATGCAATGTGCGGCAATCAATGAATACAAATGTAATATGTGTTTTTTTCATTTTCGAACTACACCTTGGCGGTAACAGGAGAAGAAGCGTGAAAGATAAAAAGCGTAGCAGGAGCAGTCAAAGTATTGAGATTCTGATGTTTTTGCGCTTCTATAACAAAATCGGCCAGCGGCGGCTACGGGCTGCTACGGGCTGCTGGCGGCTGCTGGCGGCTGCTACGGGCTGCTAGCGGCGGCTGCCGGCGCGGTATGAAGGCACCCTTACGCAGCTCATATTCCTTTTTACGTTGTTCTGCTGTAAGGCTTGGCCTAATGTATATGTTAGAAAACCGGGGATTGTTGCGCAGCAATTTAGCCTTGCTAAGTACTGCGAGGGAATGCGCCTTAGATGGGAACATGATTTTAGTCAAGCGGGGTTTGCCCTCTGAACCCTTCCCCATCCTAAAGACAGAAGTAGGCCTGACCTCAACTCCAAGATCATCTAGGATATCGGTGACCTTGGATTCCAAATCAGCTTGCTTAGCCGAAGGTCGCGAGTTAGATGCTAATTCCGGTATCCCGGCGACCACAATGCTTCTCACACGAAAGAACTCTTCACAAATCATACGAGAGTTGACCAAGATTGATCGCAAAGCATGGAGCGAGTCCATGACCTGCGATGGGACACGGGGGGTACTCTCGAGAAAAGTCGATATCGTGTGTAAATGCATGGATATGTCACCAGAAAAACCGGGATCAGACAAACCAGCAATAAGAGGATCATCACTCAGAGTTTGGGAGACCTGAGAAATCTGAGAAAAAGAGGCTTTGGATTTGCTTTGAGAAGAACGAGTCGCAACCATGACAAAATCTACAAAAAGATCGAGAAAAAAATCGACAAAAATCGAGAGCGCCAAAGAAACACGACCGCTCAATGCGCGGGCAATGATAAGAATAGCGCTGGGTTATCTGACCATGCAAGCATTTACTTTGACCTTATGTTGCCGATTGATTTCCCCTGTATGGATTGTTGCCCTGACTATGCGAGCGGTGATTATCTGGCCATTTCTGCCTGCTTGGACACTATTGATTGGTGGTCCCTGCTCGACAATTCTTGCTCTATTGATGACATGTATCAACGCTTTCTTGACCTTTTACACGACTTACTGTCGCGTTTCATCCCATTGAAACGAGCAAGGTACGAGACTGACCACTACCCCACTCACATCAAGAACTTGATAGAACAAAGGGATCGTTTGTTTTGCACAATCCATGACCCGTTGACATCTGATAGATATAAAAACGTGGTAAAAAAGTTGAACAGACACCTAGCCAAATTCAGTGCGAATAGACAGAAAAGACTATCTAACATGAACACTTCCTCTCTCTTCAAGTATGCCCACCTGATTTTCAAAGAAAAGCATGGCCCTCAAGGATTGCATGATCACCAAGGAAATTTATGCAAGACTGATCAAGAGAATGCCGAATGTCTTGCTCATTATTTTGCATCGGTTTTCCAGAAACCGACAAACTCTAGACCTAGCCTTCCTAATGATCTAACCAATCAGATACAAAGTTCCTTATACCTTTCACAAGTTCCTCAAGTCCTGCCTTTTGATGTTATGAACATTCTGAAAAGATTGAAACCATCGACCTTCATTACTGCTGATGGAATTCCCCAGATGGTTTACAAAAGATGTGCCACTCAGTTAGCAGTTCCTGTTTCAATACTTGTCAACATGTCTTTGAGCAGTGGTGAATTACCCAAAGTATGGAAGCACGGAAGGGTGGTACCAATTCCTAAAGTTCAGAACCCACAAAAGGCCTCGGAGTTTCGGCCCATAAGCATTAACTCTGTGGTCTGCAAAGTTGCTGAGAAGATTGTAAGAAGGAAACTGCTGTCATTTTGCGTGCAAAAGCATCTCATACCGTCTGAACAGTTTGGGTTTATGGAGGGATCTTCCACTACTCTCCAACTGATTACTTGTGATTTTTACTGGAAAAGAGCCTTGGCACAAAATCGATTAACTGATGTTCTTTATTTTGACTTGTCCAAAGCTTTTGACAGAGTAGACATCCACAAATTAATTGAGAAACTATATTCAGTTGGAATTCGTGGAGGTATGCTAAAATGGCTCACGTCTTATCTGACTGAGAGAACACTCTCGGTACGAGTCAACTCAGCCATCTCTTCTATCTTCTCGGCAACCAGCGGAGTACCCCAGGGTGGTGTCTTATCCCCTATCCTTTTTAATATCTACACAAGTGAGTTACCCGGCCTTCTATCAATTGATTGGAGAATCAAAGTCATGGCATATGCAGATGATATAAAAGTTTTTGCTTCATACTCTGATGAGGACAAAGTCGAAGTGACTGATGCCTTGAGTGCTTGCCTTCAGAAAATCTTATCGTGGGCAGACTTGAACTGCATTGATGTTAACTTGCGTAAAAGTGTGTGCTTGACCATCACCAAAAGGCATGAACAAGAGAACACACTTAAAGAGTACACGCACTCCAGTATATCTCTGGCTAGGCCCGTGCTTGTAAGAGATCTTGGAATATTGATGGACCATAAGCTCCTGTTAAGATCTCATATTGAGAATATTTCGCGTGCAGCCTTACACAGAGTATTCCTTTTATTACGGAACTTGAAGCATGTAGACTTGAGAGTATACATCAAGCTGTATATGGCCTATGTTCTCCCTTCATTAGAGTATGCTTGCCAAGTCTGGAATCCTCACTTAAAAAAAGACATTCTAACCTTGGAGAAAGTCCAAATGGTTTTCACTCGTGTAATGTATTACAGATTTTTTCCAAGCGAGGATTACCCGTATACTCTTCCCTCCTATAGATGTAGGCTGGACCACTTGAAGTTGCATAGCTTGCTGTATCGAAGGGTTTTGGCTGACTTAGTGCTTGCCTTCCAAATAATTCGCCTTGAAACAAAAATTGTTCCTAGTGAATTCTGGGTTTGGAGACCGTGCAACGGCCGAACAGGTAGGTTTAGCTTCCACTGCATTGACTCTACTGTTCCAAATACACTCTTCTACAACTCATTTTTCGCACGCACTTCTCGATGGTTACAAAAGCTTCCTGACGCAGTTCTCTCTGCTCCTAATTCAACTACTTTCAGAAAAAAACTTCTTAATTGTGACTTTTTGAGATTGCTGGGAATAGATGAATCCGAGTACTTTTGAGATGAAGTTTCTCCTTATGTCCTTCACTTTTTTTTTTCTTACATTTTAAATTCTACTCTTGGCTGGCTCCTTTTTTTTTTCAGAGTGTTGACTTGCTCAGTTTAACGCTGGCTATTTCTTCACTGTATTTTCCAATGCCCCATGGACTTCACTTGGGAAGTTGATCGCCTTTTTAACTCACTTATGTTGTCTCGTCTGTTTTGATTTCAGAGGCCTTCCATGGTTGCCTGTACAATTCAGTCGATACAACTCTGCTGAACTTCGGTCCACGTTCCCTTTGCCTAAATTGACTATCCTTGTTGTTTTGTTTTCATTTTCTCGTTGTATGGGTTACAGCATAGCATACATTAGTATGACCATCTCGTTCCATCAATCATTTTTTTTCATTGCTGTTTTGCTGACATGCTCTTGACCTGAGAGGCTCTCTTCCGATATACGCAGCTTAGTGTTTGTCTTCTAAATCTGACATCGTCTTTGTCGTGTAATTTTTTATGTCTGTCTCTTATCCTTGATCATCTTGTATCCAAGTCCGATGTTAGCGTTGTTGGGGTAAGCCGAACGAGGTCTCCTGCCCGCCGGGTACGCATGATTTCGCTCATTCGCCTAGGTGCTTATCCCTCTTTCTTCGCTCGAAAGTGACCGTATATTTATATACCGTCACGCATCGTACTTGGACTTGTACTTATACCAAGTTTAGTCCCCACGACACTGACTTTCTGACTTTGAAGACAACACTGACGAGCACCTAGTTTAGAGAATTACTCTCCTCAATTTCTCTAGGGTGTTGAGCATGTTACAATTTCGTTTCATTACTGTTTTTGTCTGTCGTTGCGTTCGTGTCTTAGCACTGGCGCACTGTGCACAACAGTGTATCAATAAATAAATAAATAAATAAATAAATAAATTGCGTAAGGAGGATCACTTGATCTGATATTAAACATAGCTGCTGACAAAGACTGACTTTGTTGCAGAGTGAAGGTATTTAGAGAATACCACATTCTCCTAGCAAAGTATTTTACGACGAATTTCTCTGCAAACACACTGCACAATGCTTTATTTCATCTTATCACAAGAAGAAACAGGCAATGAGGAAAAGTGCTCGTTTCATACAGAATGGATCCTCCTAAGCGACATGCTCACACTTTTTTCGGCATGTCTCTCTGTCACCTTTGCACTTCTTCATGCATTGATACCCAGGGGAACACTCTCCTTGGCATGTCCATCTGTCACCTTTGCACTTCTTCATACATTCCTCGCTGAAAACACACATTTTTGTTGCGCATTAAAACAACGTAATTTCAGCCTTACAAGCGTTTCGATTCTTCTGGCGTGAGGGTTCTAGCATACGTTAGCCCTAAGAAACAAGCTCCCGGGAGGAAAAGGAAAAACAGGAAGTTCATAGTTATTTTCAGCAATTGAGTGTGCTCTCAAAAATTCTGATGAATTTTTGGGTTTGTTTATACTGGTACACGAGAGAAAAGCGACAGCACAGCGTTTATGACTGATTGAGTCTCCTTTGCAAGACATGGATATTGAAGAAGATGGATCGAAGCGTCTTGCTGTTAGGAGATTAGAGAAGTCCAATGAAAGTTGCATTGGGCTTGTAACCAATGAGTTGATCTGTAGTGTGATGCTCGCGTTTCAGTCAATTTTCCACTGAAGTGGTAGGATTCGTAATAATGAACTGTGTTTTCTCTCTTTTTCGCAGATTGTCCACTCTTCCATATCCAAAGAAATATTGCCTGGATAAGAGCAAATGCTTTTTAATTATCTAAGCGAGCATGAAAAAAATTCATTCGCAAATGAAATTCTCGTAAGTTCTCGAGAAATTTATTTAGACTATCAGACTTTGGTAATCAATGACCATCAGGGAGGTACAAGTACCGTGATTGAAGGCGGCAATTCTAAGTGGAGTACTGGCGTTAATTATAGATTAAAAAAGTTCTCGAACTCTTGGAAAATTCTTCTCAAACTGCTATAATTGAGCTGTTTGTGAAGTGCAAGTTTTGCTGCAGGGACAATGTCCAGCTTATCTCGAAAAGTAGTCCATGAACGCCTCCCAGATACACGCTCTCTCAAAAATAGGCCTGTTTCTATAGGATGGTCGCAGGACAATTATAGCTGGAGAGGCTCATATGTAAATGCTGTGCGCCTGTTACTGCTGCTTTGATGATTTTGAGTAACGATTTTGGAACGCTATACGTGATAAAAAATTTCTAAAAAAAGTGAAATACTGATATTTGCATCCAAATTCCTCCATTTTCTGATTCAGTAAATTTGAGGTGTTCTCTCTTGGCAAAGTGAGCCAAATGTTTCAACGTTCAAAGGACGTTTTCTAATATCTCGCACATCTTTTGCGAGAAAAGTTGCGGTGAGGTGCGATTTTGACTGCTAGTAATATTTGCGCATATAGCAGAATTTGAATGCAACTGCAAGTTTGAAGTCGACGAACTCCCCATTCGGTTACTTTATACTGAAACGATTCTTTTTGTTCAGTAAAATGGGCAATGGATCTTTCATCGTCAGAAAGACTTTTTTATGTAGATTAGACAGGTTTTGATACCATTATAATCAAAAGGTGATATCTGAAAGAGTTTCTTTGTATTGGTTAGTGGTGGGGATATATCAGAACTATAAGACTTCGAATACCAAACCACAACCAAAAGTATTGCCACGCGGGACTTCGTATACGCACGAGCACACCTCAAACTTGGGTAATTAAACTTTATCTGGGTAACAAGAATAACAACAACAACACGGATAGAATAAATAACAAAATGATATTACTAAATGATGAACTACAAATAGGAATGCTATGATTGGAAGAAGGCAAAATATGTGAGTGAATAATGTTAAAGCAAATGAGCAAGAGTCGTACATGTGAATAACTCTGACTGTGCACAGTCAGCTACTTATATGCGTGATCACATATCAAGCCACAGCTGCGCGCGACATCCTACTGTTAGCTAAAAACCTAAGCAATTCACATCTGACGCGAACATCTGCGAATTCTTCCAATAACAAAAACGATGCAAGCTGCTAAATTCATCGATGCTGTGCAATTGGCAAAGTATTACTAAACTACAGGGATGTAATGAATTTGTATATCTTGAGAGAGAGAGAGAGAAAAGAACAATACGAACTACGAAGTTCGTATATATATCTTGAGAGAGAGAGAGAAAAGAACGATACGAACTACGAAGTTCGTATACTCCGGCCTCACCAACGAGTTTGGGACGGGCTAGTTTGTCGTTGCTGCGCTTTCGCTGTGGCTGTAGTCTCTGGCAATCTCACAAGTCCTTTTCTTCTGGTTTCTTCTTCCTGAGTGAAAAGAGCATTCGAAGAAATCGGTATGGTAACAGCCAGGAGAGTCGAAACATTCGATATGCCGATTTAGCCAGTGCATAGAATAATCCACAGAAGGCTTTAATGATCGAGAACACACAAGCATTGGAGGCGTAGAAGTACGTTATTACCAACGATCACTACCAATACTGTCGCTCCTAGTATACAGTACCACATCAAGAATGTCTGTGCCAGATGCGAGAAGTCTGGTAAGTTTATCTCCGAGAATAATTCACTTTCGCCTTGTAGAACTCTCCTCGCCGCCATATTTAAGTTGCCCGTGTAGTGTAGGATACCTGAGATCTCGAATGTAGTTTGAACCTTTCCGCATCGCACTGTGCAGTTCCGATAAAATTGCGCTTTATCAGCAACGAATGTGACATTGGTCTCCGTCCCTTCCTGACTGCATGGGATAACAAATAGGCTGTCTTCACACTCGACCTCAGCTTTTGTTGCCGCTACTGAAGATCTGCACATTAGTACTGCTATCGCTCCTTTAGCACAGTTGTAGCATCCTGTGCTGTAGGCGTTCTCCACTGAACAGATAGCGTCGGATCGTAGTGCTGTAATGCGAACTTTGCTCCTCATTCGAAGTATGAATTCTGCTGTCGGCAGTTGAGGTATCCGAGCTGTGACCTTTTCATCGATAGCGCGAAATTCGAGATTAGGACGTATAATCGGCAATCGGTGTTGTGGAGTGCTGATTAGGGAAGTGAGATTTACCTCTTTGCAGTCGCATATCATTTTTGTTTCGGCTGCGGCACATTTGCAATCCTCGTATACATCACAGGTGAGGTTTTTCGCATCTTCCCATGTCCTACATACCAGCGGCGGCTCCTGGTGCGCTTCCACAGTGGCGTATCGCTTTCCGTCTGTGAGAAATATCGAATTCAAGGCCGGCGTGGGTGGTGTGCTCAGGGATGAAAGGGTTATAGTGAACGATGATATGCTTTTTGGTTGATTCGGTATGACCTGGAAGTCGTGGCTGTGCTGCACTGAACCTTGTTCGCTTACGGTTAGTTTTAAGTGTACGAACTGTTTCCAACGTGGACATCTGAAGATTTCGTACACATTCTCGTCCGTTGGAACAAGGTATATCCTGTAAAATAGGCATCCCGAGCTGGGATAAAAACAATCGCAACCTGGTCCTCCGCAGCTCTCCACACATCCAGTGACACCCGGATAGTCGTTGACTCGCTGCAGTTCTTTCACCTTCGATATCCGTTGTATCCCTGCGCATTTGTCTCCTGTACATGATCCGGCATGAGGGCAGCGTTTGCTATCCAGCAGTGCATATCTAGTGCTTCTGGAGAACAGGAGAGTTTCCTTTTCGCAAACAAGATTGAGATTCTTCCAAGCCAGCTTGATTTCCAAAACGCTAGTATGGTTACTCGTAAGTCTCATGCACGCTTCTTGTTTGAATGGATTGATTTTCAGTATCTCTGTGGTGTCGACGGTGCAGTATTCCTCGTTTCCAGATTGAGTGCATGCTTGCGTCTGGTGCGTTAACACTTCAACATCTTGGCATCCGGCTGCTAGTCCACTAATGCAGAGGATCGTCAGAAGAACAACATCTCTCATCCATGCTCTTCTTCTTCTTCGTCGGTCGTTGCCTGTTGCGATTTTCAGCAATCGGCATAGTAACCTGAACATCAGCCATCCGCACATTCCTGCCAGCTTTAGTCCATAGAGTATCGGTGTTCCTAACAGCACTGGCACGTGGAACAGGCAGTAGCACATGGTTATCGCCAAGTATACTAGCAATCCGGTGACTAGTATAGCCGTGCGTGGCCAGCATTCTGGATTGCTCACCATCACTGCGCAGAAGGTGCAGTCTATCTGTTCGCAAAACGGTGCTGCCTTGCACGTTGTCTCCATTATGTGAACGTCTTCACCGTCGAAGATTTTCCATTTGACGAGTTGTTCGTGCAGAGTGATTTGTGGGGGAAATCTTACTATTTCCTGTTGCCGCGGCGTTTTGAATTCCATACAGAAGTCTTCTGCACAAATTTCGTAGGGCTGTCGATTTGCTTGCAGAAGAGACACTCCTCCTTCAATGCACTGGAGTTGGTAGCTCCCGTTGCTGCTTGATCCCGCTGTTTTCGTCACGCAAAATGAAAGTAGAGCTACCGTGAGCAGCGATGTTACGGATGAGGCGAAGGTTGGGGCTTTTCTGCGCGTCGGTTCTTGTTCTTCTTGTTCATTATAATTGGTGGGACGTCTCGAACGGAGGTTATATCGAGTAGCTGGTGCCTCCGATGGGAAGGAAGTCTTCGGGATCTCTTCTTTGTCGATTTCTAAAGGTACCACTCGATTTATAGGTCGTCGCAAACGTCGCTTGTTTGGCGTTTCCACGACAACTTCTCGCGTCGCCTTATGAGGAGATTCATCTACTTGTACGATTCGTGCGGTTCTCCATGTGTTCCTGGGCTGTACTGCGTCCCACAAGAGTACGATATCTCCTTCCTTTGGCGATTTTCTTGTTCCACGCTTCTCGTTCATCCGAATTTTATGCTGCTCTCTCAGGCTCGTAAGGTACTGTTCAGTCCAGACTTTCCAGAACTTTTCAGTCAAGTCTACAGATGTTTTCAGCGCCGCTTCAGTTTGACGTTGTGTAGCTAGTTGTTGTGCTTCTTCTGGAGTGTGGTAAATTCGGTCTTGTCCTTCTCTACCTATGTACTCCAGAGGATAATCCAGAGTCATCTTGTTTTGAATGAAGTCTATGGGTCGAAGTATTGGTTGTTCTTCCCATTTTTCCTCTTGATAAGTTAGAGGTCGTGAGTTCAAAACCGCTTCTATCTCCGTGAGCATGGTCCTGAGGCCATCAAAAGTGATGGTTCGCACTCCAAGCGTTTTGTACAGCGAGTTTTTGATGGAGCGGATAAGCCTCTCATAAAATCCACCCTGCCACGGTGCATAAGGCGTTATATGGTTCCATCTAATCTCTCGCCGTGCTATTTCGCTTCCTACTTCAGTGCTGTTGACCATATTTTCTGTGGCGTCTCTCAGGATTTGCTCCCCCAACAGGAATGTTGGTGCATTGTCAGAAGTGATAGTTTGCGGTACTCCTCTTCTTGCAAAGAACCTTCGAAGCGCGTTGAGGAATGCTTCTGTGGTCATGTCGCCCACGAGCTCCAAATGTATGAGCCTTGTTACTTGACATGTGAAAATGCATCCATATGCCTTATTGGATCCGTCGTGGTTATCAATGGTCGTCAACGGTCCGAAATAATCCAATCCTATATGCTCGAACGGGCGTGCGCGGTGTACCCTTGTTGCTGGCATCGCTTCCATGTCGGGATAGGCAAATGGGAGATTGTTCATCTTTTGGCATGGGACGCATCTTTGAATCAGGCTTCGTACTTGTTGTCTGAGCTTAGGTATCCAGTATTTTTCGCGTACGGTAGCCATTGTGTGGGCGATTCCACGATGATAGTGATTGTGGACCTCTGAGATGATGAGACGTGCCAACGTTGTTTTAGGTGCAATGTAGATGGGTGTTTTTGCTGTGATTGGTACATCGGATTGCTGCATGCGTCCATAGCAGCGTAGAACTCCTCTCTCGTCTCGTTGAATGTTCAGGTCCTTTTGTGACTTAATTTGGTGTTCGTCCACGTAGATTCTCTGGTGGTCGCGAATTAAGCACATTCGGCTTTCCTGCATCTCGACTCCCGTGATAGTCTGCGACATCGAAACTCCTTTGAGTGCCGATATGTGCTCTTGCACAGCAACCTTCCTTTCGTGAGGTAGATGATTTATGGGTCTGTGTATAAAACGCAGAACGTAGACCAGCACTCTCTGAGCTCGTTCGAGGGTGCTAAATCTGGTTAAATCGACTAATTCCTTCTCAGATGTTCTTTCTGTTACTGCCAAAGTCACCGTCTCCACTGGCATCATCGTCGTCTCTGATTCTTCGATTGCGTTCAGTTTAGAATGGTCTGGCTTGCTCGTGAAGCTGGGTCCTGTCCACCAGAAGTGATTTTGAAACGCTTCCGATGATAGTCCTCTGGTTCCGCAATCGGCTGGGTTTTCTGCTGTTGAGACGTGTCCGAAGAGGCATGTCGTATTTCGACCGCGGAGGTCATTGCTGATTCGCCTTATCTCTGTTAGTCGGTTTGTGACCAAAACGCCTGCGCTCTGACGTGATGGAGGAGTTTGTATCCATCCTAACACGATATCCGAATCTGTGTAGAGGATAACCTCCTTGATGTTACAAAGTGGTTCCAGTGCTTCGCAGATAAAGTGGGACATTCGCACGCCTAGCGTTAGTGCATTCATTTCCAACTTGGGAACCGTCATTGAAGTTTTGATAGATGGAAGTTTGGATTTTGCCATTATGATGCTGGATTCTTCTTGAGAGGTGAGATATGCGCATGCTGCTATTGCGCACTGGCTAGCATCAGTGAAGACGACAAGTCTGTGGCCATCGGATTTGTTGAGGATTCGTCGATTCACCTCCTTGTAAAATGTCGAGATTTCTGATGTTATTTGATGCCACTGATCACGCAATTGCGCTGGAAGCGGTGTGTCCCAGTCCAATCCTTCCTTCCATAATGATTGCATGCATATTTTTGCCGGTAGTAGTAGAGGCACCAGAAATCCCATTGGATCATATACCGAAGCAAGTTGCTGTGTGACTGTTCGCTTGGTGTCGTTTCCCTTCAAGGTTGCCATCGAGCCTTTGATTATGAATTTGTCCGTTTCCGAATTCCATGTGATGCCTAGGACCTTGGGGGAGGTGGATTTCATCTTGTCGGCCTCATCAATGGCGTTGCAGAAGGTTTTGTCGTTGGAGCAAAATTCTCTCAAGTTCATTTTGAGGTCTTGGAAGAGCTTCTTTGTGTGTGCATACTTCAAAAGTGCTTCGTTTGAAGATTGTGCACCAAAGAATAAGTTGTCCACGTACAAATTCCTTCTTATTTCCGGGGCCATGTCGTCATCATTTGCTGTGGTTTCTAGGTGATGATCTATCGTAGCGCTTAACAGGAAGGGGGAAGCGTTGAGTCCGAAGGTAACTCTGGTGAATCTGTAGACCACTATGTTATCCGGCGTGGGTGGAAGTGAGATATCCCTGACCCAGATACAACGGGTGGCGTCACGGTCCTTTTCTTGCAGTCGTACTTGTAGGAATGCCTTTTCGATGTCCGACATCACTGCGATACTGTGCATTCGGAATCGAAGCAGAATTCCAACCAAATCCGGGAGGATGAGAGGGCCTTGATGGAGTACGTCGTTGAGGCTAGGGCAGTCTTTGTAGTGAGCTGACGCGTCAAAGACGATTCTCATCTTTGTCGTTTCCTTAGAGGGAGTGATTACCGCCTGATGCGGTAAATAGTGGACTACTTCTCCTTCATCAACGTACTTCGATGTTACTTCTTCTATTATTTCCTTCTCTTGTTGTTCCTTAAAGATGTTGTCGTACGCTTGTAGTGTCTTCGGGTCCTTTTGATATATCTCCAGGATCTTTGCAAGACGTTTCATTGCTAGCGCCTTGTTATCTGGGAGTTCGGGATGGTTTTCTTTCCATGGTAGGCGTACGTAATAGCCGTCCTCCCTTTTCTCGATGGACTCCTTAAAATTTTCCAATACTTTCTCGTTTGTTTTCTGGAGCTCCGTTTTTTGTGGACCAGTGTACTCCTCCGTACCGGTGGATTCCAAAGACCAGTAGCGGTCCCATGTCTCCTTTTCAATTTCATGTCCTTGGAGTGTGCAGGATACCGCCAGCCTTTGGCACGTGTATCCTTGTCGACCGCTAATGATATATCCTAGCTTGGTCGGTATCAGGTGCAATCCCGAAGGCAGGTTCAAATTGCTGCTGGGTTCCATGAAGTTCCAAAGGTAATCGCAACCTAAGAGGATTTGTGGTCGCAGGTCTCCACCTTCTACAGGCAGAGACAAATCGTACTTTCCTTCCTTGATGAACCGTAGATCTTCGGGGTCGAGGTTCGCTCGTTGTACAGAGCTTGTAATATAATCATTCTTATACAGCTATACTTCGTGTTGTGTGCCTTCTTTGTCCAGCATCTTCAAAACGGTTTTAGCGCACGTTCTTGTCTTCACTGCAGGTGACCCAAACGTACTGAGTTCGAGAGAGGCTGTGCCTAATGTTGGCAGCTTGAGCTCGTTTGCAAGCTCCTCTCCAATAAAAGAGAGCTCTGAACCTGTATCCAGCAACACGACAGTTTCCCTTTTGTTCCCATCAGTGCCGAGTACCTGGATTGCTCCTGCGAGTAGGACTACTCTGTTCTGTCTCCAGCCATTTTCTTTCTTGAGCTGTAGTACTGTTGGAGTTTCGGCACTTTCCGTTGCTCCCTGTTTTGTTTCGTGAGTGTCTTGTCCGATTGACTCCATTACCACATGCTGCTTCGAAGAACAATAAGGTTTTGCTGGCGTCTTCGGCTGATTTTTGGGTGTTCTTAGTACTTCTGTTCTCTTCTGTTGACTTCGCTCCGATCGATTTTGCGCGCCTTCGCCCGGCTTTTGTTCCATACATATTGCCGTATGATGTTTTTTGCCGCACTTTCGGCAGTTGCCGCTAAGACATGAAGCTACTCTGTGATCAATCGATCCGCAGTTGAGACATCTGCCAGTGTCAAGCAAAAAACTTTTTTTCTGTGCTGCTGTAGGAATTTGCGAACAATTCATCCACCTGTGTCCGTTACCTCCACAGCATTCACAAAGGTTGCTTGGTTTCCATCTGCCGGTTGGTCCTGAGGGTGTTTTCGTCGCCATCGTGTTGGGATTTGGATGATTTCTTGCTTGTGTTTCGCACGAGAGCATGTGGTTTATCTGCTCTTCTTGTGATATGATGTCATCGACGGCGTCGAGCCATTGTTCCAATGTCCACTCGCTGTTGCTTTCTCCTTTGTGTTTGAGTCTTTTCTCCATAGCTGCTTTCCTGATGCGTACGTGGAACTTCTGGAGAAAGATTTGGATTGTTATTTGATTGCTGAGGTGTTGCTCGTGTTCTTCTAGTTGCGCTGCGATAGTTGAAAGTTTGTCCCACAATTGACGCTGATCTGCGGTGGTGGGTCCTCTTGCCAAGCAGTTGTGTAAGCTTTTGTTCAGTTCCAGAATAATGCCATCCTTGTTGCCATAGCGTTTCGCCAAATGCTGTATGGCTTTTTCGTAATTGTTTGCTGATACGAAGAATCGCGAGATCGATTGCTTCGCCTCCCCACTCAGGGCTGACAGTAAATAGTTGAATTTTTGCAATTCCGTTAGATCCTGGTCGTGTACGTTGGCTTTGAATATGGCCCAGAAGTTGTCCCATTCCCATTTCTTTCCTGTGAAGCTTGGAATAGGTATAGTTGGAAGTTTGCTGACTGCTGCAGAACATTGGTGGTCGGTTCCACTTGTTCGGAGCGTAGCTGCCGTCGTTATTTCCTGCAGCATCTGCTTGGTATTGGATTTGTGTGCGTATAACTTCATGATAGTCTCTTGAGCAATCTCCGCGTGCTTGTCTAACTGATCTTCTTCTTCGTCTGTGGTATCCTGAAGTTTATCGAAGGCTTCCGTGAGTTTGGTTAAGGATGCTTCGAGAAGTTCCAGATACTCGTCGCACCTCGCCACAGTCATTGTGAATTCCTTGACTTGTTCTTGTTGTGTGCTTTCTTTCTTCAGGTGTTGAAGACGCTGTGTGGATTCTTCCAACCATGCCAGAGCGACTTGGCTTCTTTTGGTCATCAGTCCCTTGTACGCTCTTACTGTAGTTGTCATTATGGAAGTGCAGGCAAAAAGAAATTCCGTGCAATTCCCGTATGCGCAGGTGATCCACTATCGTGCAACAATGAAAGCGTATCGTGCAAAGCAAGCGAGACACACTTTATCTTCTGCAATAAAAGGTACCTCTTGATTTGGCCGATGCACCACTTGTATTGGTTAGTGGTGGGGATATATCAGAACTATAAGACTTCGAAAACCAAACCACAACCAAAAGTATTGCCACGCGGGACTTCGTATACGCACGAGCACACCTCAAACTTGGGTAATTAAACTTTATCTGGGTAACAAGAATAACAACACCAACACGGATAGAATAAATAACAAAATGATATTACTAAATGATGAACTACAAATAGGAATGCTATGATTGGAAGAAGGCAAAATATGTGAGTGAATAATGTTAAAGCAAATGAGCAAGAGTCGTACATGTGAATAACTCTGACTGTGCACAGTCAGCTACTTATATGCGTGATCACATATCAAGCCACAGCTGCGCGCGACATCCTACTGTTAGCTAAAAACCTAAGCAATTCACATCTGACGCGAACATCTGCGAATTCTTCCAATAACAAAAACGATGCAAGCTGCTAAATTCATCGATGCTGTGCAATTGGCAAAGTATTACTAAACTACAGGGATGTAATGAATTTGTATATCTTGAGAGAGAGAGAGAGAAAAGAACAATACGAACTACGAAGTTCGTATATATATCTTGAGAGAGAGAGAGAAAAGAACGATACGAACTACGAAGTTCGTATATTCTTTGCTTTTTATAACCTCAGAAAAGGTGTTGGAAATCAAAACAAGACAAGCGGCCTTGTACTTTTAAACAGCTTTATATTCAGGTGAGCTTTTTCGCATCGCAATGAAAAGCGCAAACTCTGGACTTTCCGTGAAGATTTTTTTCATACGCGCAAAGTTTTATTTCGTGAAGAGCACTAAATGCGATTTGCATCTTGTAAGAAAAAGCATCACAAAATTCTTTCATAGCTTCAGTCTCTCGTGCTTAGAATCAAAGACAATTGTAGCATTAATGCATAACTGAAAGTTTAAGAGTAGTTCCAGAATTGCTATTGCAAAAGCTATCCTCTATTAGAACCAAGAAAACATAAGGAAAAGAGAATTTATTAGGTGACTGTCGGATCTAGCTGCAGGTGGTATATATATATATATATATACAATGTGTTTGTGACTTCTATGACTTCTGTGGCAAAAGCTCTTGTGACGTACTCAGAAAAAAGTTTGGATTATAATAGTTTTTGTATGCTTCGAAGCTAAAGAAAACTCAAATTAAGCTACTTAAAAGTGACACCAAACCATTGCATCATTAATCTTTTCATTTTCTTTGGTCAATTCAAAGCTTAAGATAGATAAATCCGTTTGTTTTCTCTGCACCGTGTACGGAAAAGTCTTCTATCTTGCTCAAATCAGCTCTACTTCAAATTTTTTGTTACAGATGCTGCTAAATCCTCTGCACACCGATATTTGTCTCTACATTCTCCAACCAACTTTTGACTATTAGTATAATGCTTTTATCGAAAAGAGACCTCCCTTTCAAAATAAGAAGATAATCGAGCCATCGGACGCTAATTTGTGAACTGACTCATTTACATCGCAGGCTGTTTAGGGCTGTTAAATCCTTAGCCTGAATATGTTCGCTGGGAATTTGTTACAGCACGTGACGCACAATTCTCATATCGCTACAATCTTTAATCTATTCGTGCTAATGGGAGCGAGATTTGAGCTGCAGTGGAAAATTTGAAACTTTTTAATTTTCATAGTTGCAAATTCTGAGAGGCATCAAAGAAATCACCATTACCATCATTACTTCGAGCTCAAAGTGTCATTATCTTATATCACAAATTTATATTAATTGAACAATCAATTTACTCAACTAAATCAATCAAAGCAATATGGAATGTAATAACTAATTTAGAATATAGGCGTTTTAATGAAAATCACTTTTGAAGCATAAAGAATTGTACAAATGAACGTAAGAAGAGTATTCTTGATCTTAGGAGACCACTTCATTGAATACACACAAAGCAACAATATGAAGATTGTCATTATATTAAAATTTTCACTTTGCGCAAAACCATGTGGAGCGCTTTGATGTGGCATGCGTTGCCAAGCACAAGCAATACAATATAATCTCTAAACTTTTTAAGATACACTTAGGCTGTCTTCATACTGATTTTATGTTCCGGAACAGTTCCAGCACAGCGCTCGAATTGTGCGCTGTGCTGGAACAGCTCCGGAATTTACGGCTCAGTATGAACCCAGCCTTATGAAACTATTATGCACCAAGTTAGCAAGAGTCGTGGAATTATCCGATTTCGCTGCAAATGCAAAACATACGAGAACATACAAACATAAACATATATGGAAAAAACATAGGCAAAGCTGCAAACTTATCTAACTTTGAGATGCGAAAAGATGATGATTATGATAAAGATAATTTGACATTTTTTGATTTCTGGCTCTTACTCTGTTTATTTCTGAGAATTTTCTAGTCGGTTTGGTCTGCAATTGTTAAAAATACACGATGAAATTGATTTGAACTGAAAGACATTTTCAGTAATCAGATTTCGTGCTGTTGGAAAGCTTGCCTGAACGAAAATGAGAAAAATGACTCTAACATCGTCATGAAAGATGTCCGCTGCTGCATCTCAAGCCTTCCAGCTACTGGTTGTGAGCTAGTCTTACAGCTACTAGAGGAAGCTCATTTGGCAAGTCAAATACTTAGGTGGCTCTTCTGAAAACGAATTTCTTGATTTGTTAGACTAATTAAGTAGTCAATTTTTTATGAAACTATTATTATTTTTTTGAACAACGTATTCATGTGAGAATACGAAAGCTCTCTGCCAATGTAAGAATTACCATATATGAAATATAGGGTTGCCCCAAATTCTGCCTCACTATGCAAAAAAAGCCTCCTTCGTATGGTAAATGAATTCTTACTCTGACACAGACGCATATAATATCCCTGTTGAGCATCTCAAGCAGAACGGTGTACAAATGATAAAAATTGAGGTTTCGCTCCATTGATCGATGTCCTTTAAGATTTGAACAGTCATTTCGAGGGCCCCAGACCACATTTCTCCTTGAATTCGTTCCCTATTACATTAAGTAAGTCAATCTCTAGCAATGGTGCTTCTTATCATTGTGTCTGGTACGGGTTGTGCCGGCATTATTTTCACTCTGAACCCCTCAAACCTTGAATTTCACTAGTTTTCACAAATGCTATGATTATTGTTATTTTGCTGCCAAAAAGTATGTAGAACATAAAACCGAAAAATGTCATAAGCAGAAATAAGTTAACTATCGGGCGGTATCGACATACATACGTAATTTTGGGTTTGTACGTTATACAGATAAGTTTGAACAATTGATTTGGGGCACTCGTTCAAAGTGAGTGACATAATTTTACAGTATGTTAAGGCATTTTTAAAGCAAAATGGTGGCATTAAATGTTGTTGCTAAGTGTTGTGTTGCTCAACAAATGCAAGCCACATACGAACAATTTTTGGTAGTTAGATAAAAGAATTTTTATGCTGCCTAGTGCAGATGGTCTTTAGATTGCCTGTTTGAAGGAAAAATTGCTGATATGTACAGGGTGTCCAAAATTACCATCGCGCGTTTCTTTGAATGTTAGGAGGATTTGACGAGGACCTCATAATGAACCAGTAAAATTAAAATTTTCTGCTTTTTTTGAAGAATCTCAAATCCTTTTGATCCATTTGACAGCAAGTGTGCTCTGCGCGCAGACACAACCAAGAATTTTTTTTGTCATCGTCAGAGGCTCAAAAGTTAAGTCACAACCGCTCTTGAGCTCCAAACACCTCCTCCAATGGCACACTCGATTCATTTGGTGTGAAAGAGGTCCGGCCACAAGTGTATTACCGATATTGCAGTGCGCCACACTTTAGACGAGCACGTGTGTCTCTTCTCGCTGGGCAATTTGCCGAACTGAGAGGTATGTAATGACGTGCAACTGTCGCCATATGCGTCTTTCATTTCCGGCCTCACTTTTAATTGTTTTCTGAATTTTCACGTTCTTTCATTATTTGTGCTCGGCAGCTCCCCCTAAGCTCCCGCGGATGAAGTCTCGTTATCTAGCGGTCGAGCAAAGTGATCGTTATAGCTTTTGAATAGTGTCGCGTTGACGCGCGGGGAAAGTATGTAACTTTTGTGCAGGTTCTGTACCGTGAGCGGAGAGTGCTCGTAGCTTTACTACGCGGAGATCGGATTTTTCTGACATCAAGTACTGAAATCAGTTTGGTGATCATCGCGACTTGGGACGAGGCGGAATCGGGTGCATGGTTGTGCAGCCAGTCATACGAGACAAAGGATGCTGAGCTCATCGAGCTTTAATATGGTGCATAGGCGCATGGAAGACGGAAGATTCGGTGGAGTCGCAGATTGAGGATAGCTGGATAACATCAAGGACGTCATTATGGGAACTCGCCACTTCATCTTCTATGCGTGCACAACGGACCTAAGTCTACCACGCTCAGCAAAGAGAAAATCAAGAAACAAAGAGACCAGTAGACACTTGGACAAAATAGTGGCAAGAATGCAGGAATGGCAGCGATGAGTGTGATCAGTGCGGTCACGCCTACGCTGCTTCTCTGATCTCTCTTCAATGCTTTTGCTCTCTCTGACAATGCGCAAGTGCAGTGCAAACGCCTAGCGCTGCGAACGCGCAAATTTACGCCGATGGTTCGGCCTGGTCCCGATCGGGACAGACCGTACACTCAGAAGACAGGTAATCCGTATGTTTATGTTTGTAATTCTCCTATGTCTGGTACTTGTAGAGAAATCGGCTCAACCTAGCAACTTTTGTTAACTTGGTGCATCATAGTTTCATAAGGCTACTTCATACTGAGTACCGGAACTGTTCTAGCACAGGCACAATTCGAGCGCTGTGCTGGAACTGTCCTGATTATACGGATCAGCATGAACTCAGCCTGAGGGCCGCATGCATTAACATTCTGCGGGGAAGGGGACTGCAGCTTGAAGGGAAATTGAATTTCACGTTGTTGTCTACCTATCCGTAAATATTTCTACTATCCTTGACTACTAACATATTAAACAGGAGCGAGAAGCTGTACAAGCCGCATTTTCTAGCTTTTTATATGATCCCCTGATGATTCGCAACCAACTGCCTTTTCTTTGAAGTCTTTTTCTTTCTTCGGAGTTAATGAAAATGTGCCAGAGTTTCACTAATTATCGATGAGAACAAATAATATATTAGAGTCTTGGAAATCGAGATGAACCTCAAGCCGAAAGTTAGGTGCCGAGAATTTCAATATTACCGTAACTCAATTGTTCTTATCAGCAGCATGCTTAGCACTGTCAGTTTGGATAATCAGTACAACTTTGGAATGTTTTCGTTAACTTCGAAGAAAGAAGAGTGACTTTGAAGAAAAAACGGGCGGTTGGGCGTTGAGGATCATCGGAGATCATACGAAAAAAAGGAAAATGCTGCTTGTACGTCTTCTCGTTTCTTTTCAATATGTTAGTAGTCAAGGATAGTAGGAGTACTTACGGATGGGTAGACAAGTAGAATCCAGATATCTGGCGCTTCAGGATTTGAAGCTTTCTTTTAACCCGCGATCCTCCTCCCCAGTGGGGATGTTAATGCATGCGGCCCTAAGTATATTTCAAAAAGTTTAGATATTACAGTGTATTGCTTGCTTGGCAACACCTGCCACATCAAAGCGCTCCCCAAGGTTTTTGCTTAATTCAGCTTATTAATAAACTAGGCTTAGACTATCGTGGCAAACATAGTCATGCGCAAAGTGAACTCTTTGATACGTGCGTACAAAAATCTAAGTTTGTTGAAGATAATGACATTTTGCATATCACTGCTTTGTGTACATTTAATGCTTCGGTGGTCTCCATCTTTTACTCTGCATTTGTACAACACTTCATGACCCTAGTGTAGAAAAGAAGCTTGCAAATTTTTAGCTCAAAATAACTCGTTTCCCGGTAATTTCTACTGATACGCCTCTCCTCTGAATTTGCCACTTTCCAAAATGCCACTTTCCAAAATGCCACTTTCCAATTCCAAAATGCTTTAATTAATTTAGTTGAGCAAACTGATAATTTGTGATCATTATATGTTTGTGATATTAGGAAAGTCATGTCATTTATGTCACTGCGTTGAGAACGGAATTACTTTCTGCTGAGGGTTGGAGAAGAAATTAGCTGTCCCAACAACGCAGCGTGCTACACCTTCCAACATTATGAGGTGGATTCCATGTACGAAAAATGTGTGATGTTTAATTAATTGCGTGTGCCTTGAACTAGAATATAACTCTTGCATGTCAGCCAATCATCAAGGGAACTATGACGTTGGAGAAGAGCCAAATCGTGAGCATGCTTCACAACAAGATACCACCTATAAATAGGCATCTACTTATCCTCTCTATAATATAAATCTGAATTCAAAAAACGCGACAACTAGGATGCTCCGCGACCGTGTGTGGTTATGACGTTGTTCTGATTAGACGCCAGTTGCAGAAACTGCCACCAAATATTAGGAAAAGCGGCGGTACTAATAAGGAGAAGAAGACGCTGGTCGAAGCGCGACGAGAGAGTCTCACAACACGCATGGTGCACTCTGCTGCCGCATTTGCTATGTGTTGAAAAAGATTGCTTGCATGGCTCCCTCGTTGAACTCATTCGTGTACATTCACATCAAAGGATTCCATGATACCTTGTCTCAAGTTAGCATTCCGCAACCTATCCAAAAACATGTTGGTTTCGAGATGAGCCAAGCATGTCTGAGAAGCGGCGAAAAAATTTTGTTGAGCAACCATGCTATCCTTTCTGTGGGTCCTCCAACACTACTTATAATGGGCCTTTGTATGTACAGGGTCCGTGGAGGCAAAAAGTATGTCGCCCGAGACGGGTCTTTATGAGAACTTACAAGACGGTGCAGTTAGAGAGATCGCATTTGAGGCGAGTAATGATGCTCTTAGAAATCGCAGCTGTTTCTGCGGTGTCTGCCCAGGTCCTGTTTGGCGGGCTTTACTGTTTTTCGAACTCTTGTCCAGACGGGGCGGTACAAAGTTCCATCGTCTAAATAGCATCTTGTTATGGCTATATTAGGTCATCTGGAATAATTACAAAATCGCCGTCCTCAAAGGCAGTGGCTAAATCGAACATCTCGAAAATTTTATATGGAAGGTTGCTTTGCACCCCACACATGAGAACGGAGCAGGTCCGAGCGCACAGCATGCTGTTCCTGCCTAGAAAATTGCCCTTAACCGGTGCGCGCAAGCTATTATTACACGTACTCAGACGAGCTTGCGATATCTCTCACACCTTCAGAGGCGGCATGCCGCAATGATATAAACATGAAGGTCCCACAAGGAATCTACGTCTTTAACTAGGGCGGCGTTTCTCCCGTACAAATTCAATGAGAGGCCTTGAAAAATGCTGATTTTTGCTATTTTCACGCTCTTGGAGTGAATTTTCGGAATAGCGCGTCGAATTACTCCAGAAAAGCGAAGAAACCCACAGGAGGATTTGCCGAACCGCTGCCTTCAATGCAAAAGCAGAGATCATGTAACTCCTGCAAACCTAGTCTTTTTTCCGCGTGCAAGATTGCTAGTGGTGTATTTTGTGTGGAGCATTTTCGCGTTTACGCCGAACAAAGGTAAAACTCTACATAACAGAGGTGCCATCGGTGGTTTGATTACCCATATAATAAGTAAGCGAACCTCAGGACTTCGAGCTGGAGGATAGGGGTTTTGGGTGTATATAGGCACAATTAATCTATTAGGGAAAATAGGCGGGATTTTTTCCAATTTTTGTATTTTCATTAAAAATTCGCCAAAATTTAAGTTCCTTACGTTTTCCTGCCTCGCAATTCGAAAACTTGGACAAATCGGCGTCTAAATTGTGAGAAGAGGATACGCGGGACCATTCTGAAGGAAGGTTGTGTGGTTATGCGTCTTTTCAGAGGGGACTCATCCTTGCAGAATACCTGTGTGCGAAGCCCCGCCCCCAAAATTTTTTGAAACGGAAAAAAGATATGCTCAAACGTTATAGAAGAAATTGAAAAAAATGCGACTGCCATTTCTGTTGAAGGTCTACCTAACCTGATTTTTTGGTGAATTATGGATGATTAAAAAATCGATTTTTTCAGAAATTAGCAAAAAGTCGGTTTTTCAGACTTCGGGTTACGGTAAAGCTGAGGGTCTGCAATTTTGCACACATACATCTAGTCTGTGCCTGACAACGCCATAATTTTTTCAGAATTTTAGGATCACTCTGGAGCGAGTTATGAAAAACCCGGCGCAAGACCAGGCCATAACTCGAGAGTGGGCGGGGCTAAGGGGGCGGGGATAATACCAAAAGATTCTCCAGATCAAACTGGTCCGGGGGGAATTTGGCCCGAGGGGCAGGGGTTGATGCGGGGCCCGGTACGGCGGGGTAAAGATTCCTGGTTGAGCCTATTCAATTTTCCAGTGGGTCTCAGCCAATAAATAAGAGACTTTGCAATATATTGTATCGTCGTGCAATATATTGCACAGCGTATAATGGTGAATTTTCGCTTTTCAAAAATTCGGAAAAAATTGGGGAATGCTGGGGGCATAAGACAAAAGGTATTTAAGCATGTTAGGGCCTTAGTTGAGGTACTTGAGGTCTTTAAAAAATGTGTGAAGTGGATTTTGAGGTTTTGAATGCATGTATGTTCCTAGAATCTAAAAAATTTTAGGATTTTTTAAGAAGGTCTAGATCAATGGATGAGCGTCGGGGAGCTAAGGTAAAAGGGTTTAAGAGTTACCAAGTCTAAATTAAGACATATAGAATTTTTTGTAGAATAGTAGGCTTTCAACACCCGAATGATTACGGGCGTTCAGAAACTTTTCCGTTCCGAAAGGCGTTCCGAATGTTTGAAAGGGATTGATAGTGTCAAACAAGTTTTGGAACTAAGTTTCATTAAGTAAGGCCCTCGAAGGGTTTCTGCGTCGCGAATTTGCATAACGTTGTTTGAGTTTCATGATACAGCACCGGCGAGCTTTACTGCATGTAGTTGAGACGAAATGTGCTGAAAAGTTTATTATTTGTTGTTTGATCGCATATTGCAATAAAGGATTTCAATTCCAACCCGAAGCTTGATATGAGATCAGATGAGGTAGATATGAAAGTGAGATGCAGTTTGGTACACGTATGACACACTAGAGACAGCTATATGATACAAACTGGGAGACTGCTGCATGATACAAACAAGGATTCGGTACTGGTTGCAAGGTACACGTACTTATTATCCATTTTGCAAAGGATGCATGATTTGTTGATGTGTAAGTTTAGGCTTACGGCGTATCGTGTTCCACGGCTCTATTGTTGGCAATGGAAAGTGACGAGTAAGTGGACCAGCTGATAGTAGCTTCAAGTGCAACGGCATTTCATCCGCTCTGGCTTCCGCCTGACGTTCCTACAAGCGTAAATAATATACAGAAGTCCTTCGCAAACTATGCATACAATCCAACATACCACTGCGTAAATTTCGTCGCCTACGACGGCTACGCAGCAACCGTAACGATGACCGCTTTCCTCAAGATGGCGTGCGCCTAACAGGATAGCGGTTGTGGATCATTCTGCTTTTGGTACAGAATAAGAACAACCGATTCCATGCGCTTAAAAGCAGCTTCCGTCGCTATTTGTAGCAACTGTGCCAAGGGAGATGCGACCTTTACCAAGAACATGGTAGGGTCCGGAAACACATCCTGAATACATCGATGTAATTTTACATCCAACCCTGAGTTTAAGTGCATACTTACTCTATTAGTGAAAATGGTACGCCTGCTCCTTGCAAATGCTACTCTTGGATCGGCAGCAGGAGTACTTTCCAGCAACAATTCTACTGCGCGTGCTTTCTGTGTCACCAAAAATAGAAGTTCTCCAATGTCGAAATCAGGCCTTTCATGTAAGCTGAGATCCTCTTCTGAGAAAGACCGCTCAAAATTCCATACTCTTTGGACATGGATGCTTTGTCTTGCCGGTTGTAGAAATGAAGAGTAAGCTGTGTGGATTAGTGTGCATACAAAAATTATCAATGGAATAAAATATATAAATAACGGAATATTCACCTTCTGCTGCAGCCAGATCGCATACAGACGTGACAGATGCACGGAAAATTTTTCGGAGAACTGGGCTTGCTTGGATCTCTTTCCCTTACAGCATAGTTCCACAATAGCTGTTCACCAGCCTGTAAAATGTGCATTGTGCAAAATTTTAAACATGCATGAAATAAATTTGCTTAAAGTTACCTGAATATCGCGACTAGCTATCAAACAATGCGCCCATCGAACTCGGCGTTTACCAAGGTACATGCACTTCATATTTAGGTTGGCGTGCTCAATTGATTGGTTTATGAGCCGCCCAAGCGTTACTGTCGCTTTGTGCGAGTCGCAGTGAGCAAGTACGATGTAATTGCAGTCGCTTCCTTCCACTCCCATCCAATATTTGGCAACTTTTTGGCGTTGCTCTTCATCAAGTTCCTTATTGTAAGGCTTCAAAACGTCTTCCGACAATCCACGGTAACCACTAAACACAAGCACTAACACTATTATTTAGCTTTTTTACCTCATCATACGCTAAGGTCCTACTTCAAGGGAATTCAAAAATAGAGGAAAGGATTTCTCACCGATAATCAGCAACAGCGATGTCTACCTTAGCGAAAACACCTCGTCCTTTGATCGTAGGCATTTCTCTGACTTCCAGCCATGGCAAGTCCTTAAATATGTTGACAATTACAACAACCGCTTTGATTTTTGAGATACCCACCTGTACAGGCTGTGCATGACATCTATGTATAAAATTGCTTAGCTGCCAAACGTTCTCGACTTCTGTCAATCCACCCGTATAAGATGTACTATTGAGAAGCTATAAGTGCCGGCTCGGATCCATGGGCCCAAACCGCTTTTCAAGATCGGCAAGTAAGCTAGCGGGAACAGCTGATTTACGGACGACATGCACTCTTCTACGTACAGCCATTGTTATCGAGTCACTTAATATGAGTTCTGCATTTGCTGTGCAAGCTTCTGATTTCTGTCTTTTGAGATGAAATTTCAGCTTATACACTGGAATTTTTTCGACTGCTTCCTGTTCATCGACAATGTCAATATGTTGTACTGACGTTCCATCACCACTACTGCTGCCGATCGGATGTTGCTCAAACTGTTTGAGTGGTGAAGGCGACGATGCTTGTGACTCCAACGCTGATGCTTGCGGCTCTAGCGCTCCTATGTCACCTTGTTCCATGACAATCTCCTCCAAAGTTAAGCTCGAATCTTCAGTCGTATCTACATGCATAGTGTGAGGTAGAATTAAATTTTTATGACACAAGTGTCTTACCCGCTTTCACTGGGGACGACACTCTCGGGCGTTTTCTTAGCGTTTCCTCACCTTCCGTTCGACGTTGTAATCGTCGTCGAAACATACCTGAAGTTTGAAAAATACATATATATATATTTATATAGTTTTTGCAAAGCTTCATGCAGGTGCGTGTGATAAAAATGTATAGAAAAATACCAGAACGAGAAAAAGGCCTGGCACTGTCGTTTCCGTCATTTCCTTCATTTTCGTCGTCTCCATCATCCTCTCCCTCCTCGTCATCATCATCTTCTTCTCCTCTTCCCTCTTCGCTCACATTTTTGTCAACTGGTATCTCATCGTAGTCATCCATTTCTAAATCCTCTTCTTCTAGATCGGCTAAGTGTTTACGTCGTTCCAAACTGAATAAAATCGATCAACACAGTGTGATAATAACGAATAGCTTATAAAATTGTTTACTTTGCAAGCTTGAACATCCTTTTCACTTCCCGCACTCGTTCGCGGTTCCTGGCCGCTTCCTCTTCTCCTAATAAGCGCACCTTTATATATCCATAAGCGCAACTTTGCTTGTTTTGTGTAACGTAGTTTGCTGCCTGCGTCTCTTGTGTGTGACCTATTAAAAAATAGATCACTGAATGCAATGCAACTTGTGCTAGCAAAGCGCAACTTTCACGTACCTGCCGTGTATGCACAGTCTTTATCTGATCCTAGCAAATTGTCCAGTCTTCGTTGAAAAGCGTCATCGTATTGCAAGTCTGCTATAGCGTGCCTTGACTAAAACACATAATAATTTAGACTTTAGGGCGGCAATCGTTTAAAAACGTACCAAGTTACAAGAGAGATTTAATTTTCGAAATCCACTGTCCCGCAAGAACTGTTTCATTATATGCGGGACAGTCACTTGGTGAACGCGTTTTCCTCCATACTGAAGGAAAAAGGGAGCAAGTGGTTCTTTCATTCCTTGGAGCTTATTCTTCGCAATCACACTATAATATGCAAAACTTTGATAATAAGAGAAAACGCATTTCTTATGTCTTACAAATCTCGCAATGTTGTATAGTACGTCAGCCATTTTTTCGACTTTGCATCTAGCACGAAATATTGACCATAATATGGTTGCTTATATTGTGCAGCCTTAGTTCCACCCTTTGGTATAGGATAGCTGCCAATCTAAAATACCTTTTGATTATGGATATAGCAAACAATATAAGCTTCGCTTACCCATAATATCTCCTCCCCATCGCCATAGCGCAATGAAAAAGGTTGCAGCCCTGTACGATCTGCAGCAGGAATGGCCTCTTCTTGCTCAGACGGGTAAATACTACCGTACACCATTTTATATATACACTCATTCCTGCTCGTGTTGCAGTGAATGATGTAGCACCAGAATGCTCTAAAATCAATGTTACACGAGAATCAAGCACTATGCAAAATAAGTGCTATAAGACAAACCCCATTATATAGTTATATTGGGCTGGTTGCAATACACCCTTTCGCTCAAAAATCTTCATCGGCTTTTCGATGCTTTCTTCCGCTCCTTTATGTTCAACAACAGCTCTTGCAACACAATAGAGCTCACCTTTCTGAATAAAATAAGTGAAAAGTGAAAGTGAAAAAGTGAAATACTGTCAGAAATTTACGCAACTCAACCTACCTGCTTTTCGCTGGGTACAATACCCTAAAATGATGATGCTCGCTTTTCCTCAATATTGAGCTTAGCTATGTAATTTAGACACTTTTTCCTTCCACGTTCCAAAACCTCAAGACGTTCACGGCCTGCTCCTAAAAGCGGTATATTTTTGTGAAAAACCGATTACGAAATGCTCTAAGATTCAATTATATAGAATGTAATCATTTACTTGCTTCAATTCCTTGCTCGATAAACTTACTGAATGCAATAAGAGCTTTGATTATGCTTTTCCGACAACCCACACTGACTCCTTCTGCTTTCAAACGCCTCATATACGCTTGTACAATTTCGCATGAATAGATCGCGTCGTCGATTGTTACTGTTTCGTTTATTCTGTAATTTAAAAGCTACAAGATTTTCAATTGTAGTGTGGCACATGACATACCGTTGTCGCGCCCTCATAGCTACAAGCATAAATCGATTTATACAGGAGATGTAGCCCCAAGTTCCATTCTTCAGTGGATTGCCTTTTCTCGCAGATGTATCAGGCTAAACAGCAGTTGGAGTAAACATGTTAAACGGTGTTTACGTCGCGGAAACACAGAGAGTCTTGAGACCTTACCAGCTCTTCAGAAAAGTACTCTTCAAATTCTTTTAGCAGTAGATGCGCCCTTCCATTTAATTTACGATAGTATTTTATCCCAGCATCCACATTCCCTTGCCATTCTTTAATGTTGAAATACGGCCATAATATGGTTATTGTAAGTATATTATGACTAAGTCACTGCTTACTGTGCTTGCGCTTTACTGGAACAGTATATTCTTCTACGTAATAATCTGGTACTGCTTGTTCATTCCAATTCATAAGAAAACATAAGATCGAGATTAGGCGGAGCCTTGAACACTTCTGCCACTTGAGATCCACCTATGTTGCAAGTAATTATAAATGTGGCTAAATATGTTTTCATTGATAGCTTTAACACGTTCATACCTGTGAAGCTTTTGTCGCCAAAACATGTGTATAGTCGGTGCCTTTGTGGTGTAGGTGTAAACGCCTCCAAAGCTGTTGCTTGTGAAGTGGACGGCCCCACTACTTCAATTTGCTCTTCTAGGACTGGTGCAGCTTCCTCAACAACTACCGGGCTACTCTCTTCTTCTAGCTCACGCTCTTCTTCTGTAGGAGCCTGAGTAATGAGGAGAGTATGAGCGTAGAGACAAGGGTTTGAAAATTGACGATTCTTTGGGTTTTTTTATTTTAGCTGAAGTGATTTCAAATTTTTTTCATGGGAATGCGAGAAAATTAAAAACGCATCAACTATTGCATAGGATCATTGATAGATTATAATGGCTTATCCTATTGGCACTTATGACGAAACCGCATTCATTAATAAGTTGATATAGTTTCGAATCTACTTGTTTGTAAATCCTACTCTGAAGCGTTCTTCCAATCCTTGGATCTCCACGTTCATTTCGGCACGAGTCACATACCTGTCTCGGCTGATCTGACCTTTATATTCCTGAAATCAAAGACTTTAGTTAATTATTCAATTACTTCGAGTATCACAATAACGCATCAAATCAGCTTACCCCTACAATGGGTATGCCAAAATTTTTGATCTGCCGTGTAAGATCGTGGTAGATGCACAATTCTCCGTACGTTACTGGCTTACGTACAAGCCTCAGATCTATTCGTGCTACACCCATGTACTGAATGATACCGCGTCCCAGCTGCTCGACAATCTGCATTTTGAAATAAATCTTGCTCTGATCAGTGGCATACTTTGTAGTGAACGTATTATTGCCATGAAGCGTGGATGAACTAACCTTCAAATTTATCGAATCCTTTTGAAGAACGTCACTATGTGCTCTTAGTAGATGTTCACTCATGCGATATTCTCCGTGTTTTCCACAAACGACGCAGAAGTGCGCGGCTTCGCTCGTATGTTTTGGATAGAACATTTCTATAATTATGTATTATTACATCGTTTAAAAAATGTTTGACAATTGAGGCAACTGACCTTCAGGCATATGCTCCGGAAAAAATTTGATAACATGTTCTGCCTTCAGTCTTTCAGGGTTTTTTCTTGCTGCATCGCCAATTCTAACAATTTTGTCATATTTTTCCGTTCTTCGGATACGCTCAGCCATTTTCTGGTATCTTGGGAAAGAATTCGTCAAACTGCAAGTTCTATAACTTTTGAATAGTACGAATTGAAAAACAATCACAAATGCGCTTGTGATTAGACATTTGAAAGGATGAAAGTATATGAAAGTGTTTATAACACTATGATATCGTACATGGAAGATTTTTACTTCCTCTATTTTTTGAAAAACTATGCATCTTTATTCATTATGCGATCGAGACTAAATGGGAACAATTTCGATAGGCTCCCTTCGAGCTTTTCTGAGCTATTCGACACTTCGTGTCCATCGCCTGAGCGATCTCAACTGACGTTGTTGATTGAATATAATCAAAGACAATAGTCCAAACATCAAACAGCCAAAAAATCGATCAATGCAAAAATTCCATGCATAGTATTCCTTGTAGCCATGAGGCTTGGAGATGTAGCCGTCATAGCTTTCAACATATGGCTCTAACGAAGAGTTTGATGACTAAAACCATTGATATTAAATGCAATCTGCATAACTGATCTTCACTTACCGGTAGTATAATGTTCAGTTCTGAAGTCATGTTCCCTGTTGCAACTCGTGCCGTCACCTCTATCGGCCCTAATTGAAGTAGCGCCCCGTTTGGTATCTCCACAACAGTGACAGGTTGAAGGACTGCAACTTCAATCCATTTGCTTTCATCCGTTTTCTTATACAGCATCCTCTTCCTTCGGGTAGCTATCACTGTGGTCCTCAACAGTGGCTCCACATGTGTAAACTAAGATGTTTGTATAACGTATAAAAAGTCAAAAGTTACTGTTCAAAAGCTCTTACCATTTCATCGCTAGAGTTACGTTTTGATACAGCACAGCCATGTCGTTTGTTACGGTCTAAAGCGCATGACTCACTTTGTAGTCTTGTCTTACAAAGGAGTGTCGACGATATTCCGGTGCAATCAGCATCGATATCTCCCACTTCTGCCAGCATACTAACATTGCTGACTTTCATCGAAAATGGCACAATATAATATGTGCTCAATTCATGAGTCGCATACACTGCACCATCTTCACTAAACTTTCCTAAGTACTACGCGCATCAAATATCCCAGATCTTCTTCTCTTGTAGTTGGGTAGCAGATCAAAACTGTGCGCTCAATATTTCGTTTTCACATAAGTTTGACGATTACTACTTGCCTTTACTACCATTACGTGCTTGTTCATAGAAAGTACAGTGGCTTTCAAGCTTTGGGCAGCAGCAAAGTATCTCTTCTTTAACATTGATGCGTTGAAACGTTTTTCACCCATAAGCTTTGCGATGGCGGACAGTAGGTTGTTTTCACCGCGATGTTTGATAAGTCGGTTCGAGACACTGCCACGATCAAATAGTTCTGTGAGAGCACTCTCCACAGCCAAATTGAGCTGGGTTCTGACATGGGAGAACACGAGTTAAACCGATTTCTAGAGAATAATGGCTATACAATAATTTCTACTTTGCTTACATTTGATGATATACGTTTGTGAATATATAAAACTTCTTATTCAATTTCGACTTACATGCTAGTCTGCAATTCCAATATCTCTGCCAAATTGTGTAACTTTGTTCTAATCGCTAGAAGATTCTCTGCTATTTTCTGAAAGTATGCATTTGACTGGAGTAGCAAGAAAATAAATAATCAGATCACGTACACTTTGTTGCTGTTCCTCCTCTGTAAATCGGTGCAATAGGCTTGACACACTATCATACACGAATTTTCCTAATCCAATTCCTACTCCAAAGGCAATGACTCCGATCACGGGGAAAAACTCTGATTGCTCCGAGCTAAAATTTGGAAAATGTTTGTGTTCAAGCATAGGTTTTTTTCAGGTAACTGACTTGTAATGCGGCGTAGTACTCCTATAGTTCTCGAATAACTCGCGCATCTCTTGAATATGCGATTTCAATGCTTGTTGCCTTAAGGTCGTATAAACCTATGTAAACGATAAGTTTCGACATTTGAGATTACCGTCAACACATTTAGAACACTGTTAACAGCAGTTTTACCTTGGCACGTAAATCTCGATCTAGAGTGCTGTTGTCGTTCAAGGTTTCCTTGAACATTTTCAGCACTCCGTCAAACATTCTTCCATCTTTGTAGCTTCCATAATCTATGTGCGACAGTAATATAGTATATCTACATAAGGATACAAAATTAAGATGTATAATTGTTTGCAATTTATGCGTGTTACGGAATAAGGCACTTTGCTGCGCCCTTTATTTCCAACCAGATTAGTTTTTCGGACTTTTTGTTAGCGTAAGCTACGACCGTTCAAGAAGGCGGCCGCTTTTACCTTTTATTTCACCTTTTACCTTTTCTTGCATTTTTGTCTCGTCACGTCATAGATTAACGCACAGTGACAGGTCAACAATGTATTTGAGAAATAACAGTATGAAGATCCAGCATCTCTACGCGTTCAAAGTGATAAATCGTGGTGTCCAGTCCAATCTCAAGTCATTACTAAATATAAAAATGACAATCACCCTTTGGTAAAATCCTACAGTAAGCGTTTCATGATAATAATCTTTTTGAAGCAACATAAATGAACTTCTCAGCATAACTGTTGGTAGGCATACCTAATAAGACAGTGCCACATTCCCGCTCATGTTTAGCTGCGAATCCCTCTATTTCACCATGAAATCCATTTTCGTGAAACCTCTTTTGAGTGGCTTCGTCGAAATAAGGTAGTCCTGTAGTCAATGAGGTGTCCATGCTAGTGGCAAGGAATACGGGACGAGCAGCGCCGACGAGAAGTGCGAAGATGATAAATGTAGTTGAGTTAATAGAAAACATTTGTTATCTGAAAACAATCGTGTAAAAGTAAGTAGACATAAAGGAGTCCTGTAAGAGATTTACAGTAAACTTTCGCAAGAAAATGCATCAAAATATACGAAGAAATCAGCATATGCCATAGGTATAGGTGATATTTTGTGAAATTCCAGTTCGCGCACGACTTGTTACAATCAAAGATATCAAAAGAAACGATGAACGAGGTGTTGCGAAAAATAAGGTTTGAAACAACGATATAGGCACGACACGACTGACACAAAATCACGAAGATAATGTCTGCTCTCAAACTCCTTCAAATTTTGTAACTGCAAGAGTACCTATACGTCGCACTGAAAAGTCAGACGGAGCATAGTGCACGAGGAGCACTTTACTACAGCATCTTTTACAGTGGCTATCAACAACGCGCATGGTCTTAATGCTGATTACCAGCAATGTTACTACGCATCAATTCGCGTACTTACTGCGGTGATATTCATATGGTACTAGAAACGGTGATATAAAAAAGATTTATAAAAAATTCCGCAGACTAGCCATACATACGAATGAATTCCATATTAGACTAACTTTCTCTTGAGTCAGTACGTATCAAAATCCTAGACTTAAGCTCTTGTGAAAAATACAGCTTTCTAACTCAATATGGAAAAAAAACGAAAAGGGCATATATGGGCTAAATTTTGCCGATGAATCCAATGGTGTCTTTGGCTTTTCGCCATCTTTACTCCGTAAGCGACGTTTTGCCCCATATTCACAATGGGCCTCAGACTCAGCCGATAAGGCTGGCCCTTTTTGCGTAGTGTTCAGGTCTTACACTGTTTGTGTAGTCAAAATTTGGGCGCCTCAGCTTTCCAAGAACTCGAGATATGAAAAAGAAAAGAATTTATAGGGTTAAAAATTCCGGATTTTTAGCTCGGGGGTATGAAGTGAGCCGATGAGGTCCAAAAAGTTGTAGATAGTAAGAAGTCAGCCTGGTAGTATGCCTGCAAAATTTGAGCCCTCTAGCTTTATTTTGAACCGAGTTATGAGTTCACCAAATTTCGTGCAATATATTGTACTGTCGCGTGCCTGGGCAGATAAGTACCAAACAGGGTCAAGCGTGCTGATGCGATCCTGGACCCTCATTTACGACCCCCCCCCCTTGAAGGTACCCATCCGTACGACCCCTCCCCCCTCTTCCCCTCTCTTTCCCTCCCCCATCTATCCCCCTTACCTCCCCTGCCCACATTTCTTGCGGTAACCTAGCATAAAGAATGTCAATCTCAAAAAACACCTGCGTGAGAACTTCAGTGAGGTTTCGGAAGCAGAATTTCAAGGCTAATAGGGGCGCTCAGCATCTTTAGCACATATACACACCTTCAATAATGTTTGAAATTCTGCAAGTTTACTTTTGAATTTTCAGGCATACTTCAGGCCAGCAAATTCGATTTTCGTATGCGACACAAATTTTTACACGGAGAACAAAATGGCATTTTTGAACTACAAAAAATGTTTTCGACTAAGAAACTCAGTTCTTACTTCTTCCACAGTTTTTTCTGCGAAAAAAACCGCTTTAGCGCCGTCCAGAACGACGTCAAAAACATGCATGAGCACGGTAGTTTGAAAATTCGTAACTAAGGCCAGGAAGAGATTGAGAAGCTGCAAAGAACAGGTTCTATAGCATTCAGTGCCCAGGCTATTCATAGAAAAAGTTTCAGCCCTTGAGGAGCAGTGAGCTCGAAAAAATTTAGATCAGGCTCTCGCAAATTTAGATGCGATCCTAAAAAGCAAAAACTGGGATTTTTGAGCTTAAAATTTTGTAACTTACCAGAGAAGTTATAAAACAGCCTGAAATTCTTATGATAAAAACTAGAGGGACGGCCTCGTATTACAGCAAGTTTGCAGCTAACAAGCTTCAATAGCTCCGGAGAAATTTAGATCAGGCGCAGATACGACCCCCCTTCTCTAATTTTTTGCTACCATACATAAAATCATAAGAAAAACCGCAGTTTATAAAATAACACCAGATTTCGCACAGCAATAGCAGGGCTTATCTAAAGTACATATAAATTGTAAGGGCCGCATAAATAGCATTACAAAAAGATTTGCGAATTATTGGTTGTCATCGTTGATCTACATGTGCGCTTTTGTCGAGTGTGCGAGTCTTCAGTGAGCCTTCCGAAGCAGGATGTCTATACCAATCGGTACATCCAACATATTTATCACACATACATGCTTTTAGTAGCATTTGAGCTTCTGAAAGTGTTTATTTTTTGGATTTTAGTCATGCCAGCAGGGTTCGATCCCCGTTTGAGACAATATTTTGCGGGAGAAAAAGCGAATCCCATAAAAAAAGAACTAAGTCATAATCTTTCAAAAGTGCAGCAAATGAAGCGAATTTCTACGCTTGCAAATGTTTTCAAATTATTGTTCGCTCGTTTTTATTTGATACAGTGGAACACGGCATTCCATGAACTTATTGTTAAGAACATGTAATAATTACTTACTATTTGATTTGCTTTTAATCGTACGGTTTTTTATCCAAACTACTCCCTCTTACGACCCTCCCCCCCTCACCGTAGACCCCCTTTACGACCCCACGTTGCGACAGTCGCATCACACGCTTGACCCTGGTACCAAAACGCTGATTACGCTTTTTTGTGGAAATACAGCTTTCTAACTCAATATGGAGAAAAACGAAAAGGACATATATGGGCTAAATTTTGCCGTCGAATCCAATGGTGCCCTTGGCTTTTCGCTATCTTTACTCCATAAGCGACGTTTTG